GTCCAGACAAAGTGCCTTTTGGGATTGTCTGTCTCCTGGTCCTATACTGCGCTCTTTGGTTTCACACATGACCTCCATGCCGCTATGGGACACAATACTGAGATATAGGGGTCAGCGGCAGAAGCCATTGACCATAGCGGGGCACGCTGGAGATCGACATTCCCCAAAAATGTCAGTTTTGAAAGACTTTGGATGATGGTTTACTTGACTGAGGTTTTTTTTTTTAACATTTATTTATTTTTATATATATATTGTCCCTGGAGCACTCGGCTTCTATGTAAACTGCGGTCTATGGAGCTGTGCAGCACGATAATCATTAAAATGGGTTGTTTTTCTTTTTCTATTCAGTAATTGTTCTTTTGATCGTCTGAACATGACAGGAGATCTGTCTGTATATCGTGCTTTTCTAAAGACGCTTCAGTCCCCTTACAAACCCGGCTGTAGTCATATGCGGCAAAAAAAAGAAAAAAGTTGCTTAACGAGTTTTTCTGGCCGGTGTGATTAGCTTAGGCCGCAGCCTAGGTCTTCTCTTATTCATGTTTGGAGAGCACGAAATTCCTGCATTCTGGGCAGCACTTTACATAGGCTGAATAGACCCCCGTTGGCCGATCGCCCTACCCTGCGTCACTCGGAAGGGAAATGTGAGGGTTCTTCGTAGACAGGGATATCTTAGGAATGCCGTATAAGTAAACTTTTCTTCAAAATTCTCAATTGTTCTTGCCATCATTGACTCCTCTTATTTGCCTGAAAATACCTTATTTTCTATGGAAAAACTTCCATCCCGAGCTTTCAATATTTTTCGCCCATACGTTCAAAAACAATTGGCAATTTGTCTTCAGTAACCACTGGGAAATCCAACGAAATTTGAGAAAATTATTTTTTTTCAAACAATATTTCACCTATTTATGGCTGGCTTTAGACAGGGGCGGACCTACCGCCGATACAGCTGTTGCGGCTGTACCAGGGCCTGAGGCTGGGGGGGGGGAGGCCCAGTGAGGTCTGGTCGTGGCCATTGGAGGAAGCGATGGTCTGATGGGCTTATAGCACCTCTTGCACCAGCTGAAGTCTCTGCCTCCTGTGCCGCGGTCACGTTAACCCTGAGTGGGACAGAGGTATGCAGGTCTGGGTTCGCTGCACAGCTCCCAGACTGCTCCGCTTCTCAGTTGGGATGATGGCAGTGTGGTGATCGGGACAGACTTTAGCCCTGGCGGAGGAGAAGATAAGGCGCCGGCTTGGGAGCAATGATGGTCCAACAGGCTTCTGAGGAGGGGGAGATGGTCCGATGGGCTTCTGAGCTGGGGGAGAGAGCTTGGGGCACCCAAGAACAAACATTGCACCAGGGCCCTTTGTTCCTTAGGTTCGCCACTGGCTTTAGAGTTCTCCAGGTGTCTCTGATTTGGTTTTCTGCTTCAGATCCCTTTAGTCCCGTGTCATTGGCTTGGTCTTTAAGGAGGCTTATAAACTGGTTGCTGAGATTATCGGCTTTCTGCGGTTTTCGGCTCCGCGCGGTATAAAACCTGATGATGGGATTATAAATTCCTAATTCTTAAGAAACACCCTGCTGGCACGACGGCTTTACCGGGGAGTATTGTTCCCAGTTGAGTTAGTGACATAGAATGGTACAAATTCCAGACTGCAGTATGTTGTATGGCTGTAAAAAAAAAAGTCCGTCCCCTCGCTATTATGTAATAAGCGCACATATAATAATATATATCTTTTAGTGAGCTCGCTGACTCATTGGAAGATATTTATAGTTGCGAACCCTTTGTTGTAGTTTTGGTTGGAGGGGTGATGGGTTAGACCAGGCTTTTATTAATGAATGTATCCCTGCTGGGGTGATGCACCCTCTCTGTGTGTCCTAGTGACCATTATTGGTAAGAAAGTGAGCAGAAATCCCCAATTATTTAGGGCAGATTCCCTTACTTTGGGGGATTTCCAGGACAGGAAGTGAATAGAAATATATCTCCAGAAGGATACAGCAAAAAATAATGTAATATGGGTATTAACCTTCCTTACTCCATGGACTTGTCCAATAAAAGTTTGGGCTATTGATGCTGAACCTACATAAATGAAAGAACCGAATGCATATGAATGAAAGGGGCGGGGCCAGGGACAGTCAGACTAGGCAAAAAAAGGGCTAGATGAGGATAGATGTCTTCCAGCCAGGAAATGAGGGGGGCTGTATCTGTCTTGCTGCAGCTTCTAGTGCAGATTGTGAGAAGCTCCCAGTGTGCAGTGATATCAGAGGAAGACATTTCAGCCCAGGAGAGGAGCCGGTACAACTGGGCAAGACTGAAGGGAAGGCTGGAAGTCAGATTTAATAACTTTGCACTGGCAGAAAATCAAGTTTCATCACCTGACTAAAATACGCGGATGTGCCAACTGTTTACACTGCACTGTAGCTAAAAAAACAAACATTTGTGTGTTCTATAAAATCTTAGACCTTGAAAAGAGAACAGTCTATACAGAGACAAACATGCAAATCGCTGAATATCAATGGTTTTCAGCCTTTCTTGTGTCATATTTATGAAAGGGTCTGAGGGTTATACTTCAGCTTTCAGCAACAATAACTTCTGGTATAGAGTTCCCTGTGCAGAGAGAGATGCCCGCGTTACATGGAGAGGGCCATGTCACCCAGAGAGATGAACATGTCCCCACCGGAGAGGGCCATGTCCCCACCGGAGAGGTGCCCATGTAACCTGAGAGATGCCCATGTCACCACAAGATGAGGTCCATGTCACCCAAGAGAGGTCCATGTCACCCAATGTGCCCACAAGAGGCCCACGTCACACAAGAGAGGCCCATGTCACCTAAGAAATTGTGTAGAAGCAGATAGTAACAGCTACAGAAGTGCGAAGCTCAAAAATGTCCTTCATTTGGAAGAAGCAAATCCCTCTGTCCCTCTTTTCCCCCTCAGTTGTCCCTCTTTTCCCCCTCAGTTGTCCCTCTTTTCCCCCTCAGTTGTCCCTCTTTTCCCCCTCAGTTGTCCCTCTTTTCCCCCTCAGTTGTCCCTCTTTTCCCCCTCAGTTGTCCCTCTTTTCCCCCTCAGTTGTCCCTCTTTTCCCCCTCAGTTGTCCCTCTTTTCCCCCTCAGTTGTCCCTCTTTTCCCCCTCAGTTGTCCCTCTTTTCCCCCTCAGTTGTCCCTCTTTTCCCCCTCAGTTGTCCCTCTTTTCCCCCTCAGTTGTCCCTCTTTTCCCCCTCAGTTGTCCCTCTTTTCCCCCTCAGTTGTCCCTCTTTTCCCCCTCAGTTGTCCCTCTTTTCCCCCTCAGTTGTCCCTCTTTTCCCCCTCAGTTGTCCCTCTTTTCCCCCTCAGTTGTCCCTCTTTTCCCCCTCAGTTGTCCCTCTTTTCCCCCTCAGTTGTCCCTCTTTTCCCCCTCAGTTGTCCCTCTTTTCCCCCTCAGTTGTCCCTCTTTTCCCCCTCAGTTGTCCCTCTTTTCCCCCTCAGTTGTCCCTCTTTTCCCCCTCAGTTGTCCCTCTTTTCCCCCTCAGTTGTCCCTCTTTTCCCCCTCAGTTGTCCCTCTTTTCCCCCTCAGTTGTCCCTCTTTTCCCCCCCAGCCGCCCCTCTCTTCCTCCTCCAGCCGCCCCTCTCTTCCTCCTCCAGCCGCCCCTCTCTTCCTCCTCCAGCCGCCCCTCTCTTCCTCCTCCAGCCGCCCCTCTCTTCCTCCTCCAGCCGCCCCTCTCTTCCTCCTCCAGCCGCCCCTCTCTTCCTCCTCCAGCCGCCCCTCTCTTCCTCCTCCAGCCGCCCCTCCTTTTTTTTGTCTGATGTATAGACCTATACAGAAATGTACTATTAAGCCTCTACCCGCCCACATAATGCATAGATGTGGCAGCATGGTGGGTAGGCCTTAATGCCCAGCTGCCACATAATGTGCATCCATGGAGCTCCACTGTTGTGTGGTGAGGGCGTGCTCCCTGTGCGCTCCTAGCCCACTGACCGGGCTGGCACAGACAGCTCCTGGTCACTGTAAATGATCGGCGGCCAGCGGGACAGGCTGGTTTAGTGATGTCGGGGCTGCACTCGAGGTCCACTACTTTACGTAAATTGACCACCACTGCTGTACACCAATAACCAACCAGGCTCTGAGAACAATGTAAAATTGTCTTACCATTGACAGCCATTTAAACGCAAGTTAAGCTCCAAATTCTAAGCATTGTGTGCAGCAGTCAGGCCGTTTCAGAGCTAATAGTGTTATTGTATGCGTTGGGTCCTTGGAGTGGCCCATTATCTCACTCTTAGCGGGCCTATTTCCTCTTCTCTAAAACAGAGGCTTCGATTATTCTACTGGACGTGTGTTAAAGTCAGGTTTGCATATTAAAGACCTCTTCCAGCAGAGCAAACTTTTTATCTAGGGAAGACCAGTGCGGACCAAGTGTAAGCCAATCATTGTATGTAATGCTGCATTTCAGCTGTGTGTGTGACAACCCTTTGTCTACTCACAAATTTGAGATTACGGTTGTCTGATAACAACTGGATCAGGAAATGATGGTGTGATTGTATGCGCTGTGACCTTTGCATATGCTCCCAGGATGACCGATCTTGAAGAATGAAGATCGGTAGTTTTAGAAAGGTATTTCAAATGATGGTCATGGTTTCCGCAAGCAATAAATCTGTTTTATGTGATATCTTTTGGTGTAGGTTGAACCTTCTGGCATCTCGCATCCATCACTAGTCTGTATGTTTCGTCTGCAGCAACGAATTAGGTTCTCCCTTTTATTGTCCTATACTACAAAGGGAGGATCTGATTGGTTGCTGTGGAGCATCATAGGCTTAGATAAATCCTAATGAGCCCCTTTTAATGTATTCAAGCTCCAGGCTAGAACAATAGGTGGTGGCTACAACCTGAATATAACACAATATAAGATTGCAGGCAAATGTTGCTATTTTTTTACATTTATGGCACACTGTGCGTCCAACCACGCAGCGCTTACTCAGCATTATGTTATTATTCCTTTACACAGTCATTGAATCACCTAACCGTTGCTTTGTGTTTGTGTTGCAGAGGTCCCCGAGGAGCTGGTCTCCCCCTGCTACACAGACCAGTATGAACAGGAACACGTGAAGCCAGCCGTGATCAGCCTCTTACTGTCCGCAGATGTGTACTGCAGAACGTACCGCAAGGCATTACCCCACGACCACTCCCCTCCTAGAGACAATGCAGCCCTCCTGCTACTCTTTGCTCGGAAGGGGTCTTCTCCGGTGCACCAGGGGGAGCCAGTGAAGACCATTGACCTGAGAGAGAAGCCCATTCGTATGGTAAGAGGATGAGGAGACTCGGGTGGAGGGATGGGATGATGAAGGGGGATTATGTGTATGCAAAACTTAGGAAGGGATTCTAGACATCCTCACCAATGTCATTCAACTCGACAGGGATCCTAATCGTTTCATTGACCAGTTTTATGTGTGCAGTGTTGAAAGTTACGCAGCAGAAGCCTCAGTCCATTTAGTCATGGTCATAGAGCAGGGTATTAAAATGTATTGGATCTCCCTGGATTCATCATGGGGTGGATGTATGGAAACAGGAGTTGAGTATAGAATTCACTATGGGGGGGGGGGCAATAGACAGAAATGGAGGTTTTTCATTTTAGGAAAAACTAGTTGCTATGGAGAGCAGCCTTATTTTTTTTTTTCTTATATTAGAAGTATAAAATGAAGACTCTGGTAGGCGTGGGACAATGGAGAGAGCTCTTATTATAAACCGTTTCTCAAAAAAAATAATTCCTGAGAACATGTGAAACCAATCAGAGACCTGCTAATGATACACAAACACTGCGCCAGTTACGCAGTCCCCCTGTCAGATTAAGTCTGTTGGAAAGCCTTGGTTGCTTTCCTGCTACCATCTATGTATTTGGCCATATTTGTTTGCACAGTCCAGAAAAAAACACTCATGTTGTGTGCCTAGGATCCCTGATCAAAAGTATGCAAACCCTCCTGGAATAATGGGGCTAGGCAGAAAGGGTAAGTTTACTACAGATGAAAGCACACCTATCCGCTAGGCCTGTAACACGCTGGTGATCCTCTCGCTGTTACAGCTAGTCAGTGACCAGATCGCTAGAGAGAGCAAAGATACCACTCGCTTGATTCCATGACATTGCTCCTTTGCTGGCCAGACTCACTTTGTGTTGCTCCCTCCCAAGCTGGGCCAACAAGCCATTTCTTCCGGAAAGGCCTGGAAAAGCAAGGCATCCCTCCTTCTGAAGCCAGAGCACCAAGGCATCCCTCCTTCTGGGGCCAGAGCACCAAGGCATCCCTCCTTCTGGGGCCAGAGCACCAAGGCATCCCTCCTTCTGGGGCCAGAGCACCAAGGCATCCCTCCTTCTGGGGCCAGAGCACCAAGGCATCCCTCCTTCTGGGGCCAGAGCACCAAGGCATCCCTCCTTCTGGGGCCAGAGCACCAAGGCATCCCTCCTTCTGGGGCCAGAGCACCAAGGCATCCCTCCTTCTGGGGCCAGAGCACCAAGGCATCCCTCCTTCTGGGGCCAGAGCACCAAGGCATCCCTCCTTCTGGGGCCAGAGCACCAAGGCATCCCTCCTTCTGGGGCCAGAGCACCAAGGCATCCCTCCTTCTGGGGCCAGAGCACCAAGGCATCCCTCCTTCTGGGGCCAGAGCACCAAGGCATCCCTCCTTCTGGGGCCAGAGCACCAAGGCATCCCTCCTTCTGGGGCCAGAGCACCAAGGCATCCCTCCTTCTGGGGCCAGAGCACCAAGGCATCCCTCCTTCTGGGGCCAGAGCACCAAGGCATCCCTCCTTCTGGGGCCAGAGCACCAAGGCATCCCTCCTTCTGGGGCCAGAGCACCAAGGCATCCCTCCTTCTGGGGCCAGAGCACCAAGGCATCCCTCCTTCTGGGGCCAGAGCACCAAGGCATCCCTCCTTCTGGGGCCAGAGCACCAAGGCATCCCTCCTTCTGGGGCCAGAGCACCAAGGCATCCCTCCTTCTGGGGCCAGAGCACCAAGGCATCCCTCCTTCTGGGGCCAGAGCACCAAGGCATCCCTCCTTCTGGGGCCAGAGCACCAAGGCATCCCTCCTTCTGGGGCCAGAGCACCAAGGCATCCCTCCTTCTGGGGCCAGAGCACCAAGGCATCCCTCCTTCTGGGGCCAGAGCACCAAGGCATCCCTCCTTCTGGGGCCAGAGCACCAAGGCATCCCTCCTTCTGGGGCCAGAGCACCAAGGCATCCCTCCTTCTGGGGCCAGAGCACCAAGGCATCCCTCCTTCTGGGGCCAGAGCACCAAGGCATCCCTCCTTCTGGGGCCAGAGCACCAAGGCATCCCTCCTTCTGGGGCCAGAGCACCAAGGCATTCCTCCCTCCGAGGCCAGAGCAACAAGGCATTCCTCCCTCCGAGGCCAGAGCAACAAGGGATTACTCCTTCTGGGGATGGACTAAATAGGCATCATTCCCCTCTGGCCAGGGAAATTTTGCAAAGTTGTAGCCAGCGAGGGCTAAAACATTGCGGCAGTGATGCAGTAGAAACAGGTGAGTGGTTCCTTTTGTCCTCTATAGCGATCCTGTCAGTGGAAAATTAAACCGTCATAGGTTTTATTCTTCCTGTGAACTGCGCTGCAGCTTTACCTTTTACAAAATTGTTATTCATTCAGTCTGGAGTTTAGCTTTAATGTTCTGTTCTCATGATCTGTCACATATCACAGATTAGACTAGGCGTGGGATTTCTAGCAGTGTAAGCCAATCTGACTATTGCATTGCACAATGCTCCCAATCTTACAAACCTTTCAATCACTGGGAGCTGGAGGGTTCTATATAGGCAGCTTAAAGGAGGAGGGAAGCACAGAGCAGCATACGTATCAGCATGTGTGAATTAGAAATGTGGCTGAACAGAATTAAAGATCTTTTCACAGGCTAAACAACACACACATATCTTTCTCTTTAATACAGAGGGTTGTGTATTGTAGCAGTGATTGTCCAAGTGATGATTCATTGGTATCTGCACCGTCCTCTCTGCTTTTCTGAACAGAATAGTCCATGTAAAGGACATCTGTTGGTCACCTCAGCAGACATTCTTTGTCTGTGGCGGAGCTGGCATCTGCCATTATTGTGTAAGTGGAATGTGAATGATGTCCTTGATTTAAAGGTTATTACAGTAAATTCGCCCTGTACTGATTGCACTGAGGCAAGGAACAATGATAAGTGGTCTTTGGATGCTGACCATGTATCACCTGCGGCACCTGAAAGACGATGATGGCTCTTGTCGGTTCAGCAGGTGGCCGGGTAAAGGTGGTCAAAGAACGCAAAGGAAACTCGAGGCAAATGAATGTAAATACATTTTATAATATACATATTGAGATGGCACACAAGAGTTGAAAGCAAAATTTAGGCTTGCAGTGCCTGGTCTGTGAATTGATGGGAAAGGGAGGAAATCACAGGAAGCGTTCTCATGGTAGTGTAGCCCCCCTTATCGCCTTTTGTGAGGTGGCTACTAAACATGTAGTGATTGCCGGGGCTGTAGTCAGCCTGGCTGGATTATAGTTGGTATTTATCACCGATGTATTGGCACCGATACCGATACTAGTATTGGTATCGGTGCATCTCTAGTAGATCGTCATTACTAAACATTTCTGAAGGTGTCTTTGTTATTATTTCAAAGATATGGGTGAGGTTCCTCTTTAAGCTCCTTGCCAGTCACGCAGTTCCTCCATTACGATAAGATTGTTATTTGCATTGTCTGCGATTCTGAGGCTCACATAGAACTCCGGCAGCTCGTCTCCTTTTTTTTTTGTTTGTGTCTGGGGAATTTGACGTTAAACCAGAACTTAGAATGAGCTCGCAGCCATTGTCCTAACCAAAGGTGACACCTAAATGTGCTCTGACTTGCCTGATGGCTCCGGTGGGGGCACGGCTCTGTAATGTGCTGGAACGCACAGTGATTGGTCGGTATAGGAGACACTCCCTCCTGTCTTTCTTTTTAAACCTTTTACCGCGTCCACTTTCCCGTCTCCCGCTCTGATTAGCTGAACAAACATCTGGTGTGTGTACTGGAGCCCGGGCGCAGCGCGCATTTTTAAAAATCCATTTTCGGCGTCTCGTGAATGCCATCCAGCCGCTCCTCTGTGTTAGGCAGACTTAAAGGAGAATCATGAGGCGAGTGCTTTTCACTGAGCCTCATAATCTGAGCCGACCTGTGACAATGAAAGTGTCACAGGTCAGCTCAGTAGATCGGGAAGTGAGCGAACACATACCTGCGCTCGCTCACATCTCGATCTATCCATGCAGAGAGGCGTGACTGTCACTTACGGCTCCCTTCAGGGATTCCCCCACTCCCCTGTCCGATGGGTGGCTGGGTGGATCCAGACATCATTGTCGGGATCCGTTGCAGGCTGCGGCGGTCTCAGTATATAGCAAGCTGTAGCTCGCGGTATACTGAGCTTTGGGTGACGGGAGGAAGCTAGTTTGTGTCCTCCCGTTACCCTTAGGAGAACTATGGGGAAAAGCCCTGACCCCATAGTTCTCCTTTAAACGAAAACATTTTCAGAGTCTGGTAATGCCTGTAAATATTTAATGCAGGTAAAGAGAACCTGTCTTCATGATCAGAGTGCGATGACCTGCAAGACATTCAAGAAAATCTATCAGGAAAGTCACATTTGGCGATTTTCAATAATGACTTTGCAATGAATTTAGAACTCTTGCGTCAAATTCGTAAAAGGTTCTCTAGTTAATACAGACGCACATAGCAAATTTACAAAGTTCTTATTTGCAACACTTTTCTAATGTCACTTTGGCTGCAACAAATTAATTCGCAAATACGGCCATTTTGAAGTTAAGGAACTTCTGGGAAAATGACAAACACACCATTGCATTTGGGCTGCTCCCACATTGCAAGGGCTAAGTGCTCGTTTTGCCGGGGGGCTACTTTTGTTCCCCGTGGTCCCTGTGTGTGATGTAAGGTAGTCACCGCTCCAAGCTCGCTCCCGGGATTGACTACAATCTCAAAACAAATTGGTAAACGAAACATGAGATTGTAGTCCATCCCGGGAGTGAGCTTGGAGCGGTGACTACTTTACAACACACACAGGTACCATGGAACAGACGTAGCCCCCCTCCAGAAGGAAGGACAGTGTCAGTGCCAATTCAGAGATGATTGGAGGATCTACAGCCGAGTGACACACAAATGAGATACATTGTTGCTCATAGTTCAGGGACTGGAATGTATTTTTAAGATTTAACTCCGGAGTTTAGTGTCACTTTAACAAAGTTTGTTGCAGATTCCAACAATTCTGTTCTGAAGAAATATCCGTTTGTTTCAGGATATCGATTCCAGACTGATCCCAGGCCTTGGAGGGTCTGATCCCAGGCCTTGGAGGGTCTGATCCCAGGCCTTGGAGAAAAAAATTTTAAGTGTAACTCCAGCCCCCCAATTTTTTAAGTTTTGTATAGCATAGGGAAGGGTGAACCCCCCTGTAATGTTTGTTTTGCTGTGTGTGCGCCCCTGTTCAGAAGATTTCACCTCACTTTCTGTCCCTGTGACAATTGGATTTTAAAAATTGTGGGTTGTCTTGGAAACAAGGATTAGTGATGAAGCTTCAGCGGAGACACCTTTTTCCCCCATGATTACTCAGACAGGAGTGCATTTCCCTTCCTAGGGGTAGATTTCCTTTCACTTCCTGTTGTCTCAAGGACAGGAAGTGAGATTAAATATTTCTAATGAGGATACAGACAGCAGTAAAACCTCTGTGACCCGGAAGAAGAGGCGGGCACCCCCTCGTCTCGACGTCTAACAAGAGCAAACTTAATGGAATGTACGTACATTCCTACGAACCAGACCCAAAAAGACGGGCACTCCTCATCAAGCATCGTTACATCTACCCGTGCTGTACAGTAATAGCCTCCGTTTGTAAGTAGGAGTCGTATGTAAGTCGGATGTTTGTAACTCGGGGACTGCCTGTATATTTTTTTTAAAGTGGAGCTTCCCTTTAAAAGACATTCAGCTATTTGCTCTCATGAAAACAATTGTTGAGACTCCTTTAGGTTTATTGGCCCTTTCAATGTGGAGCTGAGAGTGGAGAAATCTTGGATGGTGGAATAGGCGGCTTCCAGTAATTGTATATGCGTGCTTCAAACAAAGGGCCTATTCTGCGTCGCAATAAAGGTGCAGGCGTCCGCCGATCCCCCAGGATGCATTGCAGGAGATTTAATTTTGCCCGTACCATGAAAGACAGAGGTTTGGCAGGAGGCTGAGACGGTAAATTCTACATCTAATAAAAGCCGTTTTCTTCTTCCTCTTCCACGACCATCTCTCGCCTTTCCCTTCCCTGCGTCTTCATCATTTCCAGTCAGCCATGAAGAGCTCCACCCGTCGCTGTTGTCTTCTCTCCCTGAATTGGGTCGGTTCCCAGCTGCTTGAATGGAAGCTGTTTTGTTAAATATATAAAGCCGCTTGTGTGTTTCCAGCGGGTGTGTTCAGGTACATTGTTCGTGGAGTTGTTGCTCATACTATAGCTTCCCTTCATGCAGGAACAGTGTATTGGCTGAAGCTGGTCAAGCATGGCTCCATGTTCTTGCTTTCACGACTTGGGGAAAATCAGTCGCTTCCCCCCCATCCAGGTTATACAGGGTGGATGGAGGAATCTGCACTGCTGGTTATTGTATCCGGCAGCCACGGCATCCACTGCTGCCCGAAGGCAGTGCCGCTGCTGAACAGAGACCGTATCAGGCGGTTGGAGCATTTGTTGGCTCGGTTGAATCTATGGGCCAATATGCACAATGCAGCTCATGGTGGGATCTGGGAGTTATGGAGGGTGGCATTGTTAGGGCCGTATTGTATAAATGGGATAGTAAAGGACTAATGGGTAGTAAGAAACTGGTGGATAGATTGTAAGCACTCACGGGCAGGGCCCTCCTTACCATCTTGTCTTGAATTGTATTGTGACTGTAATGTCTTCCTTATATTGTAAAGCGCTGGGCAAACTATTGGCGCTATTTAAATCGTGTATAATAATAGTAAGGAGCTAATAGATCGTAAGGGACTGATAGTAGAGGGGCTGGTGGATAGTAGAGGGGCTGGTGGATAGTAGAGGGACTGGTGGGTAGTAGAGGGACTGGTGGGTAGTAGAGGGGCTAATAGATAGTGAGGGGCTAATAGATAGTGAGGGGCTGTTGGATAGTGGAGGGGCTGTTGGATAGTGGAGGGGCTGGTGGATAGTAGAGGGACTGGTGGATAGTAGAGGGACTGGTGGATAGTAGAGGGACTGGTGGATAGTAGAGGGACTGGTGGATAGTAGAGGGACTGGTGGATAGTAGAGGGACTGGTGGATAGTAGAGGGACTGGTGGATAGTAGAGGGACTGGTGGATAGTAGAGGGACTGGTGGATAGTAGAGGGGCTGGTGGATAGTCGAGGGGCTGTCGGTCTGACATTGGGATTACTAGAAAGTGATTCATAATTTGCTTTTCTTTCACCAGGCCGCCCACCTCGCTGTCATTGACTCTCTGATGATTGTGTATTCAAGCCACTGCTCGGAGTCCCTACCTGCCGGTGAAGAGCCCGGCCTTCCTGGAGTGGAGAGTAAACTGCTTGCTTGGGTTGATCAGGTAAGTCCTCTAGAGGTGTTCTTATATTGCTGTTCATGTATACCTCTCAATTTCCCCTTAGTACCTGTCCCTGTCAATAGGGCAGGAAATAGGGGAAACTCTCCCTAAGTGTGTCACATTTAAAAAAAAAAAATTTTAGTATGGTGGGTCAAAATCTCTGTCATCTCTCTGTCATCTCTGAGAGACACCCGATGTCCTGTCTCAGTGACACCATGTAACATCCTAAAATACATCTGGATGCCCACCGAGGAGAATTCCACTTTCTTCCTTTCCTGGTGACACCCTGTATTTTAGGATGTTACCTGGTGTCACTGAGACAGGACATCGGGTGTCTCTCAGATGGGGACACAGCAGTAAAAACCTGATGGAGGGACTCTAAGTTTTGACTCAGTGGACGCCATTTGAGGACGCCCTTTTCTCTCCAGTTTGACAATCGTTCCCAGCGGAAGGTGATTTCAGCCACAGGCCCCAGTTTGTTGGCTTAAAAATAAAATTAGATCTGCAAATAAAATCAAAGTATAAAATAGAAGTTTTAGTTGCGCTGTTCATGTCACGTGTAAAGTTGGATACTATTTGAGATGTTCTAGAACTAAGGGGTTAATTTATCGATGTTTGTACCCCAGATTCACCCAATTTCCCCGTAACTTTTAAATAGGTGAATCTTGGGTGAGGTTGGGTGAATCTTTGGTAAAGAAATTGAATAATGGATCCCTAAACATACGAATTCCACCGTTCATTCATGGAAATAGAAGTCTTTATAAGGTGATTTTAACCTCTTCAGGACCACTCTACATATACAGTATATACGTGCTTTTTCAGTACAAGTGTACAGACACCCAGATCACTTGTAGCCTGCAAATGTGGTGCCCCTCCTCGCACCCCCCCCCTTTCGCTCCCCTGGGGGGGCCTGGGTCCGGATGGAGAGTGGGGAACATCCATTCCCAGATCTGCGATAAATGAAGCAGTGAGCGCTGCGAGAAGCCGGTTGAAGTTCCGGTTACACAGGCGGTTGAGCTCATTCCTGGGCTTGATTGTCTGTATTAGAGGGCAGGAGAGACATCAGGGGTCTAATAGACCGGGGCGGAGGGGAACAGAGGTGAACAATCACCACCTCAAGACCGAGGTTTGGGTGAGTGTATCTTCTTTATTTTAGACCCTACATCGAAAAGAGGAGCAGTTAACCCTTGCAGTACGGGGGTTGCCCCACTACAAGGCTTAATTTTGTAAATTGCCTGGAGTTCTAATTTAAATTCACAAATTTCTTGGAGTTTGTTCACAGCAGCCCCATTGGACAGTCCCTACGCATAGACATGGCAATCTACTCTTCTGTCCAATTTTTCGGGTTCACAAAGTAGACGGGTTGCATTTTTAGCCAGCTCAGCCCATTGCAATACACTACATTGGATAATAATAAAGAGTTTTATTGCTATTATTTTAGTTTTTTTGTTTCCTTTGGACAACAGTATATATGAAGGTTCGTATATTGATTTTAGGAGTAGGATAGTCCCCATAATATGGAGCGCGTAGGAGGGGAACATGGGGAGACTCCAGACCCGGTTGAGCCTTGTAGCCCCATCTTTTTGTATTTTAGGAGTTAATAGAACGTCCGGCTGGGTCAGGAAACCTCCCCATACATCAAACATTATAATTCTGTCCTCACACATCTCTGTACTTGTATTCCTACCAGATTAACCGCCAACTATTGGAGGAGGCCGAGAGGGAACAAGGGCGGAAACAGCTATCTGCCCCGGAGGGACCCAACCAGGCCGGGGTAAGCACAGCGAGATCATCTTTATGTTTGTGTGAATGATCCCAAATGTCCTGAGCCGTCTGTCTCTGCCCCGGAGGTAGAAATCTGTTACGTCCTGTGTATGGAGCCCACTTTGTACTTCTTTCCATTTGTCCAATCTGCTCTGTATCCCGTACAATCTCCGTCTTTAGTGTCCCCCCCGCCCTTCCCCATCAATGATGTCATCAAGCTAATTCATGTTGTTTTTCCGGTTCTGTAGATATCTGACTCAATGGACAGTATGTATTATAGGAAATGATTAGATGACCTCTTCCTGTCTGCTGCTCTGTCTCCCAACCATGTTTTCTCATGCTCCTCGTTTTTTTCCCCTCCACCTCCCTCTCATCCACCATCGATCCCTACTGTTCATGACTCCATGTAATGTTCCTGTTCTCCTTTAAATCCTCACGCATATCCCACCTACTCTCGGCACCCATACCCTGTTCACTCTCGGTGCCCATACCCCGATCACTCTGGGCGCACATACCACCGGTCACTCTGGGCGCCCATGCCCCCTGTCACTCTGGGCGCCCATGCCCCCGGTCATTCTGGGCGCCCATGCCCCCGGTCATTCTGGGCGCCCATGCCCCCGGTCATTCTGGGCGCCCATGCCCCCGGTCATTCTGGGCGCCCATGCCCCCGGTCATTCTGGGCGCCCATGCCCCCGGTCATTCTGGGCGCCCATGCCCCCGGTCATTCTGGGCGCCCATGCCCCCGGTCATTCTGGGCGCCCATGCCCCCGGTCATTCTGGGCGCCCATGCCCCCGGTCATTCTGGGCGCCCATGCCCCCGGTCATTCTGGGCGCCCATGCCCCCGGTCATTCTGGGCGCCCATGCCCCCGGTCATTCTGGGCGCCCATGCCCCCGGTCATTCTGGGCGCCCATGCCCCCGGTCATTCTGGGCGCCCATGCCCCCGGTCATTCTGGGCGCCCATGCCCCCGGTCATTCTGGGCGCCCATGCCCCCGGTCATTCTGGGCGCCCATGCCCCCGGTCATTCTGGGCGCCCATGCCCCCGGTCATTCTGGGCGCCCATGCCCCCGGTCATTCTGGGCGCCCATGCCCCCGGTCATTCTGGGCGCCCATGCCCCCGGTCATTCTGGGCGCCCATGCCCCCGGTCATTCTGGGCGCCCATGCCCCCGGTCATTCTGGGCGCCCATGCCCCCGGTCATTCTGGGCGCCCATGCCCCCGGTCATTCTGGGCGCCCATGCCCCCGGTCATTCTGGGCGCCCATGCCCCCGGTCATTCTGGGCGCCCATGCCCCCGGTCATTCTGGGCGCCCATGCCCCCGGTCATTCTGGGCGCCCATGCCCCCGGTCATTCTGGGCGCCCATGCCCCCGGTCATTCTGGGCGCCCATGCCCCCGGTCATTCTGGGCGCCCATGCCCCCGGTCATTCTGGGCGCCCATGCCCCCGGTCATTCTGGGCGCCCATGCCCCCGGTCATTCTGGGCGCCCATGCCCCCGGTCATTCTGGGCGCCCATGCCCCCGGTCATTCTGGGCGCCCATGCCCCCGGTCATTCTGGGCGCCCATGCCCCCGGTCATTCTGGGCGCCCATGCCCCCGGTCATTCTGGGCGCCCATGCCCCCGGTCATTCTGGGCGCCCATGCCCCCGGTCATTCTGGGCGCCCATGCCCCCGGTCATTCTGGGCGCCCATGCCCCCGGTCATTCTGGGCGCCCATGCCCCCGGTCATTCTGGGCGCCCATGCCCCCGGTCATTCTGGGCGCCCATGCCCCCGGTCATTCTGGGCGCCCATGCCCCCGGTCATTCTGGGCGCCCATGCCCCCGGTCATTCTGGGCGCCCATGCCCCCGGTCATTCTGGGCGCCCATGCCCCCGGTCATTCTGGGCGCCCATGCCCCCGGTCATTCTGGGCGCCCATGCCCCCGGTCATTCTGGGCGCCCATGCCCCCGGTCATTCTGGGCGCCCATGCCCCCGGTCATTCTGGGCGCCCATGCCCCCGGTCATTCTGGGCGCCCATGCCCCCGGTCATTCTGGGCGCCCATGCCCCCGGTCATTCTGGGCGCCCATGCCCCCGGTCATTCTGGGCGCCCATGCCCCCGGTCATTCTGGGCGCCCATGCCCCCGGTCATTCTGGGCGCCCATGCCCCCGGTCATTCTGGGCGCCCATGCCCCCGGTCATTCTGGGCGCCCATGCCCCCGGTCATTCTGGGCGCCCATGCCCCCGGTCATTCTGGGCGCCCATGCCCCCGGTCATTCTGGGCGCCCATGCCCCCGGTCATTCTGGGCGCCCATGCCCCCGGTCATTCTGGGCGCCCATGCCCCCGGTCATTCTGGGCGCCCATGCCCCCGGTCATTCTGGGCGCCCATGCCCCCGGTCATTCTGGGCGCCCATGCCCCCGGTCATTCTGGGCGCCCATGCCCCCGGTCATTCTGGGCGCCCATGCCCCCGGTCATTCTGGGCGCCCATGCCCCCGGTCATTCTGGGCGCCCATGCCCCCGGTCATTCTGGGCGCCCATGCCCCCGGTCATTCTGGGCGCCCATGCCCCCGGTCATTCTGGGCGCCCATGCCCCCGGTCATTCTGGGCGCCCATGCCCCCGGTCATTCTGGGCGCCCATGCCCCCGGTCATTCTGGGCGCCCATGCCCCCGGTCATTCTGGGCGCCCATGCCCCCGGTCATTCTGGGCGCCCATGCCCCCGGTCATTCTGGGCGCCCATGCCCCCGGTCATTCTGGGCGCCCATGCCCCCGGTCATTCTGGGCGCCCATGCCCCCGGTCATTCTGGGCGCCCATGCCCCCGGTCATTCTGGGCGCCCATGCCCCCGGTCATTCTGGGCGCCCATGCCCCCGGTCATTCTGGGCGCCCATGCCCCCGGTCATTCTGGGCGCCCATGCCCCCGGTCATTCTGGGCGCCCATGCCCCCGGTCATTCTGGGCGCCCATGCCCCCGGTCATTCTGGGCGCCCATGCCCCCGGTCATTCTGGGCGCCCATGCCCCCGGTCATTCTGGGCGCCCATGCCCCCGGTCATTCTGGGCGCCCATGCCCCCGGTCATTCTGGGCGCCCATGCCCCCGGTCATTCTGGGCGCCCATGCCCCCGGTCATTCTGGGCGCCCATGCCCCCGGTCATTCTGGGCGCCCATGCCCCCGGTCATTCTGGGCGCCCATGCCCCCGGTCATTCTGGGCGCCCATGCCCCCGGTCATTCTGGGCGCCCATGCCCCCGGTCATTCTGGGCGCCCATGCCCCCGGTCATTCTGGGCGCCCATGCCCCCGGTCATTCTGGGCGCCCATGCCCCCGGTCATTCTGGGCGCCCATGCCCCCGGTCATTCTGGGCGCCCATGCCCCCGGTCATTCTGGGCGCCCATGCCCCCGGTCATTCTGGGCGCCCATGCCCCCGGTCATTCTGGGCGCCCATGCCCCCGGTCATTCTGGGCGCCCATGCCCCCGGTCATTCTGGGCGCCCATGCCCCCGGTCATTCTGGGCGCCCATGCCCCCGGTCATTCTGGGCGCCCATGCCCCCGGTCATTCTGGGCGCCCATGCCCCCGGTCATTCTGGGCGCCCATGCCCCCGGTCATTCTGGGCGCCCATGCCCCCGGTCATTCTGGGCGCCCATGCCCCCGGTCATTCTGGGCGCCCATGCCCCCGGTCATTCTGGGCGCCCATGCCCCCGGTCATTCTGGGCGCCCATGCCCCCGGTCATTCTGGGCGCCCATGCCCCCGGTCATTCTGGGCGCCCATGCCCCCGGTCATTCTGGGCGCCCATGCCCCCGGTCATTCTGGGCGCCCATGCCCCCGGTCATTCTGGGCGCCCATGCCCCCGGTCATTCTGGGCGCCCATGCCCCCGGTCATTCTGGGCGCCCATGCCCCCGGTCATTCTGGGCGCCCATGCCCCCGGTCATTCTGGGCGCCCATGCCCCCGGTCATTCTGGGCGCCCATGCCCCCGGTCATTCTGGGCGCCCATGCCCCCGGTCATTCTGGGCGCCCATGCCCCCGGTCATTCTGGGCGCCCATGCCCCCGGTCATTCTGGGCGCCCATGCCCCCGGTCATTCTGGGCGCCCATGCCCCCGGTCATTCTGGGCGCCCATGCCCCCGGTCATTCTGGGCGCCCATGCCCCCGGTCATTCTGGGCGCCCATGCCCCCGGTCATTCTGGGCGCCCATGCCCCCGGTCATTCTGGGCGCCCATGCCCCCGGTCATTCTGGGCGCCCATGCCCCCGGTCATTCTGGGCGCCCATGCCCCCGGTCATTCTGGGCGCCCATGCCCCCGGTCATTCTGGGCGCCCATGCCCCCGGTCATTCTGGGCGCCCATGCCCCCGGTCATTCTGGGCGCCCATGCCCCCGGTCATTCTGGGCGCCCATGCCCCCGGTCATTCTGGGCGCCCATGCCCCCGGTCATTCTGGGCGCCCATGCCCCCGGTCATTCTGGGCGCCCATGCCCCCGGTCATTCTGGGCGCCCATGCCCCCGGTCATTCTGGGCGCCCATGCCCCCGGTCATTCTGGGCGCCCATGCCCCCGGTCATTCTGGGCGCCCATGCCCCCGGTCATTCTGGGCGCCCATGCCCCCGGTCATTCTGGGCGCCCATGCCCCCGGTCATTCTGGGCGCCCATGCCCCCGGTCATTCTGGGCGCCCATGCCCCCGGTCATTCTGGGCGCCCATGCCCCCGGTCATTCTGGGCGCCCATGCCCCCGGTCATTCTGGGCGCCCATGCCCCCGGTCATTCTGGGCGCCCATGCCCCCGGTCATTCTGGGCGCCCATGCCCCCGGTCATTCTGGGCGCCCATGCCCCCGGTCATTCTGGGCGCCCATGCCCCCGGTCATTCTGGGCGCCCATGCCCCCGGTCATTCTGGGCGCCCATGCCCCCGGTCATTCTGGGCGCCCATGCCCCCGGTCATTCTGGGCGCCCATGCCCCCGGTCATTCTGGGCGCCCATGCCCCCGGTCATTCTGGGCGCCCATGCCCCCGGTCATTCTGGGCGCCCATGCCCCCGGTCATTCTGGGCGCCCATGCCCCCGGTCATTCTGGGCGCCCATGCCCCCGGTCATTCTGGGCGCCCATGCCCCCGGTCATTCTGGGCGCCCATGCCCCCGGTCATTCTGGGCGCCCATGCCCCCGGTCATTCTGGGCGCCCATGCCCCCGGTCATTCTGGGCGCCCATGCCCCCGGTCATTCTGGGCGCCCATGCCCCCGGTCACCCTGGGCGCCCATACCCCCGGTCACCCTGGGCGCCCATACCCCCGGTCACTCTGGGCGCCCATACCCCCGGTCACTCTGGGCGCACATACCTTACACCTAAACCTTACCCTTAATGTAAACCTTACACCTAACCCTGAACCTCAAGCTAACATCTCAACTTAACCCTGAACCTCAAGCTAACATCTCAACTTAACCCTGAACCTCAAGCTAACATCTCAACTTAACCCTGAACCTTAAGCTAACACCTAAGCCTTACCCCGAATCTTAACCTTACACCTAAATCTAACCCTGGACCTCAACCTAACATCCAACACTTAAGTCTAATTCTTAAATTAAATTCTAATTCGAAGTGAATGGAAACTGTGAAATCGCATTATTTTTTCTACCTTCTCCATCACCTCTCCTATGTTCCGTATCCCGAGTCATTTGTCTTGTTTTCATTTTGCTTTTCCTGCCCTTTTTAATGGCTGTTCTTCCTTTTTTTTTTGCCTACTTCCATTGTCCCCCATATTTTCACCTTCCTGTTATGTGGGATAGTCATGAAAGCGGGTGTACAGGTATTGGTTTGGTCCGGTTTTATCCATCTCCGCACTGTCCATAACGGACATAATAAAAAGAATATGGCTCATATTGATGGTATTGGCTTCTGATTTGGCCCCATCGCTCTACCCTGTACACTGGTTTTTACAAAATGCTCTTTTCTCTAGCCATGGTTTCAGGTGTCTGTACGACCTACCCGCGGATTGAAGGCAGACATTTTGGAAGACCCAAATAGTTTTTTTTTTAAAATGGGGCCTAAAAGTAGGCTCTGTGACTTAGTTGAGGCCTGATCCAAAATGGCTGACATCACCGGGCGTAGGCCGACCTTGTACTATATCTCCCCTGTTTGGTTTCCTCCCGGCCCCATCTCTCTTGTGTCCTGTACCTTTCTCTTTGTTACTCCACCCTTCCATATTTTTCTCTTTCTCTCCAGTGCCCCTCCCGCTGGTACTGGAAGCTGGTCCCTGTAAGTGGCTTTTCTTGTTTGCTTTCCCTTTGAGTGCCAGTTATACTCTTTTTTGGCATACGAGTGGTCCCTTTTCCTGTTGGTCAATGCCTTGTGCGGTGGTTCTGTTATGCTTAGGAATGCATGTGCAGTAGAACAAGACCGGGGTCTTAGGCAAAGGGTTATGGGATAGATGGTCATGGTTTTTTTTTCCTTTGATGTGTATGCGTGCTTCATCCCTTCACGTCTTTTATTTTAACTTTATGCATTTGTTCCCATTATTGCCTTTTGGTTGGCTTTTGCAGCTGCCCGGATGCCTCCATTTTGGCCACCCAAGCTTGCTTGCTGGCCCACCCAAGCTTGCTTGCTTGCTGGCCCACCCAAGCTTGCTTGCTGGCCCACCCAAGCTTGCTTGCTGGCCCACCCAAGCTTGCTTGCTGGCCCACCCAAGCTTGCTTGCTGGCCCACCCAAGCTTGCTTGTATAGCGCTAAGCCTATGATTTGATCAGGTTCAGCATTACTGAGCTGCACATTATTATCTAGTGTCTGGTATGGATACTCCACCCTTAGTGTTGCCTTGCTCCCCCCACCGTGCCTCAATGAATGCCGCCTTGGGGGGCGGTCGGCTTAATCTGCCTCTGACGGCACCGCCCTGGTGGCAGCTGAGCCTTTGAATTTTCTTTGCACATTTTCCTTCATTTTATTTGTTACTTTTTTTTATTATTACAACTTGCTTTTAGATTCTTTTTGCTCCCACGTTGTTTAATTTGTTGGTATCCCACAATCCTTTGCAGCCTAGCTGTCCTCTTAGGCCATAAACAGCCCAATTTGTGTTAAAAAAAAAAGTGGGAGACCTTGTCAAACCTGCCCCCTCTCTAGCTGTCCCGGACCCCTTTGATATGATGAAATGTCATGGCTAAGAGGTGACGCTGCAACAGACCCAGTCCGTACCTCGGTTTGAGTGACTCCATCGTGGCATGCCCGTCATCCTGTATTATTGCTTTTTTTTTTGGTTCTTGGAAATCCCAAACTTGTGTTTTGTGAGAGTGACGGTGCAGTTGTTAAGGGTTTAAAGCAGCAATGTCCTGTTTTTAGTGAGTTGAGGTGACCAACGGTTCTTGTTTTACCTGCTGGCCCCTTTTAGACACGGATGAACTACAAGTCCCAGCATGCACGGTCACCTGCTGGCATGCCTGTTAGCCAGGACTGACCTACATGCGCAGTGTTTGGTTGCAGCGATAGACGCATAATGTAAACTGTATTTGAAGCCCAGTTGGCTCTGGTGTCACTACAGGGTTAAATTCTAAAGCAAGGCCAGACAGTAAATAAAGATGCTGTGTACTTACCTGTTCCAGGGGCCCGTGTGTTCAAACTCCACAGCATTGGTAATGAAGGGCCACTGCGGGTACCCGGTACAGTTCTGGATCAGCCAAATACTGCGTCCAGGGCTGTCCCAGACTAAGGCTGTTGCCTTAGGCGGCATCGCTTTGAGTCACATGAGGGGGGCGGGGATCAGGCAGAGCAGCATGGCCGCTCTGCTGCACAATGTTTGCTGTGTGCCTGCGGCCCCCAGATATTTGTAAGCGCCATGCACATCTCCCCACCCAGCTCTTAGCAATCTGGCACGCTCTGGCCGGCGTCCCGCTTGGCTCCCTGGCAGCCGGTGACGTCACTGGTCGCCAGGAGCTGAGCGGGACACTCTAGCTGGCATCCCGCCCTCCCTTCGGTTAGCATGCTCCACCAGCAACCCCCTTCACCTCAAGGCTAGGGATGTCACTGACTGCGCCCCCTGCGGCGTGCTGTGCTTTCTCCTATTGGCTCCTACATCACTACAGGACGTATGAGCTGGCGGGCGGAACCACAGCAGGGAGCAGGGGTTTCAACACGCCGGCTGCTGGAAAGGTAGTACACAGCACCATGTAGTGTCAGGGTCATCTTAAAGCAGGGAAATGTCAGGTTTTCACTGTCCCAGAACAGGAAGTGAAAGGATATTTCTCCAGAATGTTGCACAGTTGTCACTGGAACAAGATGTCCCCATTGGGAGGTGTCCCCTTTCTTCCTAAACCGTGACAACTGCAAGATTTTGGCTAAATATCCTTTCACTTCCTGTTAAAATTAGATTTCTGACCATTTTCTGGACCCTGTGAAATGAAACCACCGATACAAGTAGAGAGGACGAATCTGCTCAGTGAGGATATAGCAATACAAACCTGACGGGGGTTCTAACCATTGCAGGAGAAGCGAGGCTAAACGTTTTTTTTTTTTAAAGTTTTAGATGGCGGGTTATGACCCGTCTCGGCTTTCTTTTTTTTGCCATTTGTGTTCCATTGGGGATATTTCCCTTCACTTCCTGTCCCATGGGCGCAACAGGAAATGAGAGATCTCTCCAAAGAGATTTGTGGTCACAAAAACTAGGTGTCCCCATTGGAAGATTTCAAATCTCTTCCTGTTCTGGTGACAAACCAAAAATTTGCTTTCACCTTCAGTGATCACATTCACCAGGACAAATAGGGTGAATCTCCCTGATGGGGACACAGGCAGCCATAAAAACCTGACGGGGGGGTCTAATTGTTTTGGCTTCAGCTGCTCTTGGCTTTAAATACATTCTGAAAGTGTTCCATATAGGTGACATGGTATCGATGGTGTCTTAGTGTTTTATAGATTAGGAATGAATGTAGTAACATTGTAAAGTGTGTCTTATGTACTCGATAATCGAAATTGATCACCACACGCTCTCCATGAGCCCATTGATTGATTGATTGATACGATGTTGCAGATGGAACTATGTAGGCATTTTCTAACACAGGGTCAACCAACCTTAGGGTGGTATCATTACCTAGATCAGCGGTAGGCAATCTCCGCTCTGGTGAAACTACAAATCCCATGATGCATCTGTCTCTGGGAGTCGTGGCTGTCAGAGTGCTTGCAATGCCTCATGGGACGTGTAGTTCCACCAGAGCTGGAGTGCCGAGGTTGCCTAACACGCATTAGGAAAATGACTGCTGGAATTGTGTTGGATGCTGAGGAGGCAAACGGCATCCATTTCTACGTCACTAATCCTCAGTACCACAGGATATGTAGTACTTCCTCTCAAGTATGGATTGAGCCCCAGGGTGGCTGCTTGCCTTTACTTGTGTAATGCAGAGCGGATTTACACGGCACACTATCAGCACTTGCTTAAAATTCCTTTAAAGCCCGACTCCAGCCGAAATTGTATTTCGTTTTTTAGTTTTGGATAGATTTAAAATGTCAGTCAGGTTTTTAATCTCTGCCTGTGACACCTATAGGGAGATTTTCTTTCACTTCCTGTCTCTATGACACCCAAACAAGGAATGGGGGAGTGCCGGTGTTCCGTCGAGGTGGCCAACTCGTCGAGGTGGCCAACTCGTCGAGGTGGCCAACTCGTCGAGGTGGCCAACTCGTCGAGGTGGCCAACTCGTCGAGGTGGCCAACTCGTCGAGGTGGCCAACTCGTCGAGGTGGCCAACTCGTCGAGGTGGCCAACTCGTCGAGGTGGCCAACTCGTCGAG